TATATGAATTGCATCTCAAAATGACATAATCTACAAAGAGATTTGGGGGAGGGGAGAGCATTGCAGAGATGAATGGTTCACGCCAAGACCCAAGGGCAGGAATACACAAAGCCCTCAGAGAAAAGTATTCATAATTCTGGTTGGCTACTTGAGGGCAAGTGTAGGGGAGATGGTGTGTGGGGAAGGTGAGAAGGGGCCTGGGCAGGTCATGGAGGACCTGGAACATCCAGCAAGGACAGGGACACAAATCAAAACAAGGTCAAATGGAAAATGATCTAGGATCAAGTGCCTGATGGATTAGAGAGTGAAGTCGTAAGGGAATAATTTAGGTGAGAGGTTCTACAGATCTAAACTAAGAGGACGAGGAGAGAAGAAAGAGGATGGGGTAAATGTGGGAGAGAAAGAATTGATCAGGCTTGATCACTGAAGACAAAGGAAAGCAGAAAGAAGGGGAGAGATAATGCTCGTTCTAAAATTTCCAGCCTCAGTACCCAGGAGATGATAGATACCATTAGAAAACAGGGCAACTTTGAGAGGAGGTATTGGTTTGTAAAAGATAATGACAGATTCATTTTTGGGGAAATGTTCAGTTTGAGGTGACTTGAGCCACTCAGTTGGAGATATTTGGACGCTCATCTGGGAGATAGGTGAGTCATTCTAGAGAGAGGATGGGGCTGAAAATACAGATTCAGTATCATGTCCCCACTGCTAAGAGCTGAAGCTGTGGACAAGATGACCAAAGGGAAGACTAAAGAATTGAAATAGATGCATTCTAAGAACAAACCTGGGGCACTCAAACACACGGTCCTCAGTATTCAGGAGGCAGACAACGTCCTGATGAATGGGCAGGCTGCACCAGACATGGCAACCCCTTAGGTCCAGGAGGTTTTCTGGACGCACCAACAGTTCAAAGTATCTCCTACAGCCAACCTCCACCTCCCCAAATACTGCCCAGCTTACAAGCCCTCTGAGAAACTCCCTGATCCCCCTAATCAGGAATCACCCCTTCACCCCAATTCATGACTTTCTGTCCAACTTGCTATCATTTTTAAGGCTGAGGGCACATCCATCCTAGTGTCATGGTCATTTATACAAATGTCAGCCTCTTGGTCCACCTCCTCAGCTGTATCCCCAAGCGTTCTACTACTTCTTGCACCAAGAACAAAAAAAGAGAGAAAACCTTCATTTTTCTTTTGGAACTCTCTTTTCAGATTCTCTGTCTCATGATTTCGGGTCTTTGCTCACCCCACAGAGAAAACATGACAGCATTTAAAAAGAGAGGCAGCACAGGAGAAATTGGTCAGGACAGCTGCAAATGTCACTTTCTTCATATTCTTTTCTGATATTTTCTCTTTCTTGAGCACCCAATGGGTTAGGTGCTATTCAGAATACACAATGAGATAGGATCCTCTACATAAATTATTCTACCCTTGGGTGATATGATCTATGTTCATTAATGATTAATTCATGAAACCCTAAGTCTTTCTATTTCCCTCTCACATACACACCCAAAGTTTTAACTTTAAATTACATTTACCCACTGGGAAAATCAAGTCTACACCTAACCGCGGATAAACTTGACAACTAGGTATACTTTAGTAGTATGTTAACCAACACTAAATTTTAGAGTCACTGTTTTTCTCTAAGTTTCTATTGCCTAAGGCACATATTGGAGATTTCTGCTCCTTCTCTGAAAACTATATAAAAATGATGAGCTACATACTGGATCAGACCTGCTCAAATACTATGATTTTAAGTTTAAATTTGTTTCAAGTTAGAGAAGTACTTTTTTCCTGTTCAATTCAAATCTTAAAGCTGTGGGTCACTAAGTAGTGTGATTTCAAGTTCTATTTGAGGTTCTAAATGGGCCAGCCTCATAATCTTCACGCAGTGAACCTATGAAGGAGGGGAGGTGCCGAGGGCTGTCTCCTGCAGAGCGATAATGACACAGGGTCTGTATTAATTCAGAGGAGCTGGGCTACTAGTCAGGAAGGACTGGGGGCGGCCTGAACCCACCTAAAGCACTTCCTAACAATGGGAGCTGCCCAGCCTCCCAGCCAGCTTCTGCACGAAGTGGAATGGTCCCGCCACTTACGGTGCTAACACACCTAATGCTGCTTGGCTGATGCCACTGGAAGGGCTGAGGACAGGCAGGTGGGTTTGGCCTGAGGGGTCTCTCAAGGCAACTTAACTCTCAGATTTGCTTCACTCATTGGAAGAAAAGGCTTCAAATTATGGGTGTGTCTTCACCTTATGTGATAGCTTTAAAAACTATCGGAAAGACAACATTGGCCCAGGACCCCAAGCAAGCCATTCTGATCTCAGTTTGCTCAGCTATACAATGAGGGGTGAACTGGATGCTAAGACACCCTTGGGTTTGAAGGACCTACAGACATAATTCACTTCCCTGGGTCTGCTCTATTTGTCAAAACCTTGTGGGAAAGGTAAAGAGATCGAAGGGCGCCTGACATAGGAAGCCCCTGCCCAGTGGGGTGGCACTGATGGCACAGAGCCTGAGCCCTGGGTGGAGGGCAGATGAGCACAGAACAGCTGAGACCCATCCAGGGGGCTCAAGGTGCCCCCTCTCCACTTTCATCGTCACTTGTCCCTTAGAACCCAGGAAAAGGAGGTAGATCAAACTAAGTAGGTAGACAAAAAAAAAAAAAAAAAAAAGAGTTGCAGCTATGCCAAGGTGGTCCAGGAAACACTGAGGACTTCACAATGAATGATTTAGAAGTGTCCCAAATATATCATGCCACAAGTCACTGTGGAACCTGTTCAGGCTGGTTATAGGCACATGAGTATCTAAAAATATGAGCTGCGTGTTTGCAAATAGTTCCTCATTACAGTCGCATTTTAGATTTTGAGACATCTACTATGCCACGATGTAATCCCTAATGACAGAGGTTTTCCTAAAATGAATCTGATGGGAAAGTAATGTCTGGAGAAAGACCAACATTCCAAGAAAAAAAAAAAACAGGAAGCAACCCTGATATCATGTTAGCTGTTTCTATGAGCTAAACCAGCAAGGCTCTGCTCCTAAGAGATAATCGAAGGACTTTCGGTTCTTTCAAGAGCTTCATGTTTTACTTTATCCTTGTCATCAAAGCATCACCTCTCCAGTAAGGGACATACACAAATTTTTCATGACACTACCTCTAATAACAAGTATAAGCATAATGGTTAATGGTACTAAGATATCAATTCAAATGGGTGTGAAGTTTTTCTGGGGTTCACTGATGAAGTACAAACTTTACACATATGAGTAGTTACGTGACAAATAAAAATCATTCTAGCATACCGTTTTTAAAATCAGAAAATTCTGACTAGAGTAGGTATTGCTTTCAATATGAAGACTTTAAACTAAGAGTTATTTTCTCTGGCACATAACCCCTGGGGGCTCAGGAGCTCCCTAATCCAGTATCCTTTGAAGCAGGGGTACCATAAACTTAGAAAGGCCCCAAGCACTCCTGGAATTAATCTGTCCACAACTGTCAGCCTTCCTTTAGCAAAAGCTGCTGCCATGGGCACGTGGCTTGAGTCAGCTTGATGTTAATTTTTTTAAATAACTCAAAACTTTAACCTTTTCATTGGAAAGATATATATCATATGAGATATTTTTCCTTCTTGCTCCCTCTAAAAGAGAAATATGCTACTGGGAATTTTACTAATAAAAAGGGTGACAAGTAATTGCTCCTTTATTTAAAGATCTTCAGGCTGGTAATATGCACATGCATATCTAAAAATAGGAGTTACACATTTGCAAATAGTTCTTTATTATAGTCACAGTTCAGATTTTGAGATATGTACTGTGCCATGATGTAAGCCCTAAGTACACTGGTATTCCTAAGATGGATCTGGTGGGATGTAGGCCTGACCACAGCACCTTCAGAAAACCAGGCGAGCAAAGAACCTCCTAGAAGCTGCTTACGAACACATCCACATAAAGGAAAATGTAATGCATTACTTCTAGGAATAACTAGGTAGACCAAAATTTAGAACTGTAAATGCAAAAATGTTCCACACACCATCTCTGTATACCCAAGAAAGGATGGAGAATGAACAAGCTTGGAGAAAGGAAACTGAAAAAACAATATAAAATCAATCTCCTTCTCAATCATTCCTCTCTCTCTCTCTCTCTCTCTCTCTCTCTTTCTCTGTCTCTCCTTCCTCCAACTTTCCAACTTGATTCAACTTCTATTATCCCTTCAGAACAGCTTTCCTCGTGTCAACCTCTCAGACCTTACTGGCCCTCAGGCAGATTCTTGCTGACCAACATCTGAGAAGTCCTGGCTTCAGATCCAATAACGACAACTTTGAAGTTGACAAGGCTGAGGTGGGGTTTGGTCGTCAAAGGCTCAGCCGAATGGGGCAGCCTCTGAATAGTCTTTAGGGACACTGGCTGCTGTGACTTGCTCTGAGGCTATTAATTCATACTTGAAAATACAGCTTCTAACATCAGTCTCAGGCACCAGGCCTGAACTGCACCCATCTCAGCTAATGAGGGCCCTTCCAGGGCACAGGCTTTAAAAGCTCAGCTGTGCTTTCCTATTTAGAACATTGTTAACTTTTAGAAACCCGGTTAAATGCTCCACCAGTATGAAGGCATTACAGGTAATCACAGGTGACTAAAATGATTTTCCCACTAATATTTCATAGCTAATAAGTTTCGTGATAGTACAACATGGTAACCCCTTTTTTGGATCTTTGACTTCTTACTTATTATCCACAAAGCAAAGGGCTCCTGAGATCAGTCCCTGAATAATTTATTTTTTAGATTTAAGATTAATTTAAAAGTCTTTTTTCCAGCATATTCTCCATAACTCGGAAAAATGGTAATGCCAAATAGGCTATTTTTCTTCAGTAGATTGTTCTTTAAAACCTCAATAATGGCAGCTTAAGGTAGTCAAGCCAAATTCTTAGCTTACCACATAAAGAAAATGAAGCCTGTTACACCCACGTGCAGAGCGGCGCCTTCCCGCAGGAGAACCCCAACTTACGGTTGGCCAGGCGGCTGGGCTCAGGCTGCGCGCTGTCTGCAGACTGGGCGCTGGAGACCGAGGACACGCTGGAGCTACGCATGAAGCCAAATGCTGCCAGCTTGGCCGCTGGGAGACGCGAGTACCCAGGAGGACGAAGTCCAGACTTTGGGAGATTGGATTTGGCAGCATTTGAACTGGAGACTTTCTTTAAGTCTGCAAAAATAAACCCAAACAAACAGACAAAAAAATCTCAGTTGACAGAAAGATAGAGAATACATGGAGAGTGAATGCAAATCCAGCTCTACCATCAATACGCCACAAGTAATCTTGCAGGGTCCAATTCAGCACATTCACAAAAACTTCTCTATGAGAAAGCCCCTCCATGTGGACCAGGGGCTTCAGAGAACTCAAAGAGGAGGACAAGTAGCATGTGGATAAGAGGAAAACAGAAAACTGACCCTATCTAGGGTCATAAAGAAAGAGACAAAGTGGGTAGGAAGCTGAAAGGCTTGAGAAAACTTACGGTTGTGATACCCTAGAATTGTGAAATTCTGACACATCTTAAAATCTGACACACAAGGGAAAAAGAACCTTCGTGGCAACTATTCATTAGCAATCATAAGCAGTATGTATAATAGTAAGTCAGGGAAACAGGTACAAAGAATCCTTTACTAACCTTTTGATGGTTGCAGGAATGAGACAGAAAGAACATAGACTGTTGGCGCTGGCCAGGTAGAAATCTAGGCTCTACCAATCACTAGCTGTGTGACCTCGGGCACTTGACCTGACACTTAGAATCCCAGTTTCCTCCCCCAGAAGAAAGTGGGGATGGTAAAACTGACCTTGCAGGGTTAGTATAAGTAATCCTGCTTGTAACACAGGACCCAATAGTTACTCAAATTAATGTTAGGTTTCCTTTCTATTTTTTCCATGACCTGTTTTTATGTTAGTGCATAATTAGTTCCCAGATATGTCCAAATCCAGCTCTTGAAAAAATAAAACATCATGCTATAGATCTATCATCTCAGCACCACTGTTTCTGAGCTGGGCTCCACTCACAGCCACTGCAACAATCATCACAACACTATAAGAAGTCTCTCAGTGACAGAACCAGAATGTCATCAACACAGAAATGCTCTGTTGATATGAAATTTAAAAGGAGAAAGGGCCAAGCTTCCCGATATTCTGTATAATTGTCCTTGTCAACCCATTTAACAACTTCTGCCTGAAGCCAAGTGCTTGTATACAAATCCTTCATCTGTGTTCTTATGCTATAGTTGGTCAACTCTTTATTATCTAGTGAAAGAGTATTCAGGTTGCAGATTAAATAAACTTTTTTAAACAGCCCATTTATAAACACTTCAATATCTAAAAATCAATGAAGAATCTCCATATTAGAAAGTGCCTATGGGTGGAAATATATAGAGAACCAGTAGATGCCAGTCTGGGTCAATGGTGCCTCTTCCTCTACCAGCAGCTCCTCTAACAGTAAGGTCACGGACAGCTGCATGTGCACGTGAAGGTGGACTCTTCACATATGTGGCTTCCTGACACCTGGGTCAGGACTAGGAGGGGGAAGAATCAGGTGCATGCAGAGGGAAGAGGGAACTGGGGCTGCAAGTATTCCCAACTCAGGTCTGTCCTAATGCTTAGAAAAATGCTCAAATATAACAAAGAAAAAATAATCACTGTTTAATAAGTAGTAATGGTCCTTTTGCATTAGCAATTAAATGTCATGTCCAATGCCTTTAAATTGTCCTATCGTTCTGTATACTGTTAGATGATATGCCCAGAGCAATGAAAGTGTCCCCATATATCAGATATCATTTTGACAACAAGTCTACACCAAATCAATTTGGGATGATGCCAGAAAGAGTTGCTAAAAATAGATGTAACTTCAACAATAAATATACACTAAACCTATTACATTTTGTTACTATTTTCAGTTATATAGAACCTCCTTCCTAACCAAGTTAGTCAATAATTGACTTTAGATTACACAAGATCAAGTGAGTAGAAGATGAAAACATTAAAAAAAAAAGCATATTTGGGAATGAAGGCAAAGTTAGAAATCCTAACAGAGGCACCTTGGCATGTGGTAAATATTCATCTATTATTTAAGAATGAAAATTAAGTTTATTAAATCATTACATAAGTCAATTAAGCCACCGAACATGTTCAAGGAAAAATCCTATTCTGCCTTTATCTATATTCAACTATTGTTCATTTCATCACTAGAAAGGTAACAGTATAACACAGAGAGAACAGGAGGACTTGACAACACAGGATTCCAAGTACACAAGAATTAGGTCTCTAAATTAGCTTCTAGCTTTCACATTCCCTTAGTCTGGCTATTCAATTTTTTCTTAACTTTATTTGACTTTCAGTAAGATGGTAGAATAGATAGATGCTGGGCCAACTGCCTTCCAGGATCACACCAAAATTACAAATAATTTATACAACATTCAACTTCAGAAGTCCCCTTAACACTAGATGAACAGAACTTCCAAATGAAGGACTTAAAGAGGAGGCCACATCAAGTCTGGTAGGAGGGGCAGACACAAGAGAGGGTGAACCCCATGAGGGACACCTCAGCGGTGGGGAGGCTTCTCCGGTTGGGGGCGAGATCCTCCAGCCCCACACCGCGCTCACCAGCCCAGAGTTACTGTGCCGGGAAGAGGAGTTCTACGATAGCTGGAGGTAGAAAATAAGTGAGGACTCTCTTTGCTCAACTGGATGAGGCTGAGGGCGGCTGGAGAACCAGTGGAGCCGGCACACGAACTTACTCGCTGGTGAGCACTCACCCAGTTCCTGGTGGAGGGAGTAGCATTGTGAGTGGGGCCCAGGAGCCTATGGGGAAGGACTGAACTGAGCAGTTTGGCGCTAGATCTGCAGGTTTTGGGACCATTGTTCCCCTGGTGTGGAGCTTGCACACGAGTAGTGTACAGGAGGGTGCCATTTTTTCAGGGCTGGGCCCTCCCACAGAGGCTCAGGTCCCAGACCGCACTGGTCTGGTGTAACTGGCACAAAAGTGTGTGTGTGCATGCGTATGCAGCCTTGGATCCCCACCCTCCACACTGCTTGTGCTGCGTAGCCAGGGAAACACCTGGCAGGCGCGCTCTGGCTCCAACAGGCTGCTCATTGAGAGGAGGGAGTGCACCAGTCACCTTGGGTTCACCCTCTCCACACTGCGTGTGCAGAGTTGCCAAGATGGCAATTGTCTGTCGGGCTACTCGGCCTGATCTGTGAGTGGCTGATTGGGACAGCCTGAGACTGGGAGTTTTCCTGGGAGTGCTGAGCCGTGAGCTGTGTGCCTGCGTGATCCGGCAAGGGCATTCCTGGCGTGTTTGTGCAGACTGGTTGCTGGTGAAGAAGTGCATGCTGCTCTTACTTGGTGGGGGCCACTGACCACAACCCCTGGTGCCTTGGGGGCCTGCCCCACCCACCTAGAGCTGTGCTGACGGGGGCACCCTAAGCCCGTGGTGTCTGACCTCCATCTCCACAGGCCACAGAGGTTTTTTTTGCAGCAGCAGATGGCCCACAACAACCTGTGAGGATTTTTGGTGGTGAGCACAGTTCCAGAGCACACAGCGCTAATTGCGGGAAGCTCACAGCAAACCTGAGGGGGAAGCCAGTGCATGATGCATTGAGCCCTTCCCCGCAACATAGCTGGTGCTGAGTTTCCCAGAGACTCTCTATTGCTGAGCAAGTGGTCTGCAGATTAAAGCAAGAAGAGAGTCGTTTTTTAGTGTGTTTTTTAAAAAATTTTTTCTTCTTTTTTCTCCCCCCTTCTTTTCTTTATTATTATTTTTTCTTTTCGTTCTCTTTCATTGTTTTGTTCCTTTTCCTTCTTTTCTTTCAACAGTTCTGTTTTTGTCGTTGTTTCTCAGACTTATCTGGATATTGCTTTGGTCACTGTTTTTCTGTCTTGCTCTCCTGTTTTTCTGTTTGTGTCTCTTTTATATACTTTTGTTTCTCCTGTCCGATCATGTCTTATCGAGTTTCTGTGGAAGTGTATTTGTTTTATGGTGTTGTTGGATTGCCTTGCTTTGTTTTTGTTTTATGAAGTGGATGTGGACCTTGCACTGGTCCAGGAGCTGAGACTACACTGAATTTGTAGAAACTACTAACCACAGCCTTTATACACCTGTAACACCACCTCGCCCACCTACAGCTGCATTGCCAGGGGCACTCTGGGTGCCAGAGTGACTGGCCCCATCCCCACAAAGTGTGGGAAAGGTGGTTTGCAGAGCCCTGGGGTCATCTTAATGGTGTTCAGTGATCACAAACCTGCACTACAGCCACTCAGGAGGAGCTTTCGTGAATCTGTGAGCATGAGGTGGAGGCTGGCTGCAGTGTCCTTGGGATGCTATCCAAGGGGGTCACAGGCCAGGTACTGGAGTAAGACCTGAATCTGCATTAACGTCTTGAAAACTACCAATCATGTCGCATAACTCACTTGAACTCCATCCTGCCAAGCTAGTGCTACATCACAGAGGCACCCTCAACACCAGGTCAAATAGCCAGACACACACCCCTAAAGAGCCTCTTTCAATAGGTGGGCCTTACCGGCATCTGACAGGTGGCAACAAGCCTAGAATGTCATGGGCCTTTTCCTAAACTGCCTCAGGAACAATATAGGGGGCAGCCAGCTTCAGTTCACACAGAGACCATCCCCACATGACCCCAAGTCCAGCACGGGCAGCAGCCAACTGCGTATAGCCTTGAGGCAACAAGCAGGTAGCTACGGACCAAGAACAAGCAGGTCTGAAACGGCTCTGAGTGGGAGCCCCACCCAAGAGACACCAGAACCAATACACCTAGAGGCCAGTGTTAGACAAAACCAGAGTACTACCTGGTTGAACCTACAAGTGGCACTCTCAAAGGACATTTTCCACAGGCACAAGAACCCACAGCAGCCAAGCCTCCTCTGAGGGGATCAACCTCCACACAGCATCTCATACACTGTGAATAGAGCTAATTCTCCCAGCTAATCAGTTTGAGGGTCAATCCAACCCTCTGACAAGCCAAAAGCAATTAAAGAGCAACTTCAACAGTGACACCTCTGGAACACATGGGACAGGAGAATACAGAGACTGTGCAATCCGAATATAAAGGACACCTACTACAAGAGCACCCAGCTACAACCAAGAAGCATAGGTGATCTATCTAATACATCAAAGCAATCACAGAGAGACAGCCAGAATAAGGAA